GAAAATGAATGAACTATCAATAAGGTACAACCTGGATGAATCTAAAATATGCTGAGTAAAAGATGCCAGACCAAAAAAAGAATATACTGTATGACTTCAGAATCACATATTTTCAGAATATACAGTTTTTCAGAATATATCTACATATCCCGAAAATGCAGACTAATCTATAGTGACAGAAACCAAAGCATTGATTGCCTGGAGGAGAGGGCCTGGATTACAAAGAGGCGGCTGGGAGTGGTGGCTCACGGCTGTAATCCCAGCACTTTGGGAGGCTGAGACGGGCAGATCATGAGATCAAGAGATCGAGACCATCCTGGCAAACACGATGAAACCCCGTCTCTACTAAAAAATACAAAAAAATTAGCCAGGCGTGGTGGCGGGTGCCTGTAGTCCCAGCTGCTTGGGAGGTTGAGGCAGGAGGATGGCGTGAACCTGGGAGGTGGAGCTAGCAGTGAGCCGAGATGACACTACTGCACTCCAGCCTGGGCCACAGAGCGAGACTCTGTCTCAAATAAATAAATAAATAAACAAAGAGGCAACCCCCTTAACCACCCACCAACATCTACAGACCATAAGGAAGTTGATAAAGCTGTTGGTGTCTCCAGGGCAAAACCTAATAGCTTCTTCAGACGTGGCCAAGCCAGGTAATGAAAAAGAGGCACATTTCAGACAGGAAAGCTAGGAGGAGCTATGGCAAAAATTGAACTTAGAAATTACTGTCAGTAAAAAGAATCACAGTCCAAGCAAGAAATGTTTTCGTCCTTTAGGGTAGGTTTCCTGTGGGATTTCAGAGTTGTGATGGAGTCCATTGGTGCCAGTCAGGTGACTTACAGTGCACCTCCCAGTGAGAGGACAATGCTATCCACACCTGATTGCCATCAGACTTGGTCAATTGATTTGTTCTGCCATTGAAATGTGAGAGAAGTGATATATACCAGTTCCAAGTAGAAGCTCTAAGAGATTCTATGTTTTGGCTTTGTTTTGTTTTGTTTCTTGCCACAATAACAGCATCCTCAAGTAAGAGCTGCTCACTGGGCTATATCCCAAAATGTGGAGCAAGGAAGGAGATAACACCTAATCCAAGAAAAATAAACTTTGGTATTGTAAGCCACTGAGAGTATATACATGTTAAATTTAAGATGTTTCTAAAATAAAGTAAAACAGTCAGGTGGAGAGTTGGATACATGAATCAGATACTCAGGAACAGATCTGAGCTAGAGATAAAATTTGGGAGCTGTCATCAGCTAGATTACATTAGAGGAAGATGACTCTGCAAAGGAGACAGGAATGTCCAGATGTTTGGAAGAAAGCCCTGAGTAAAATTTTTAATGTATTCTCACTTTTGCTGTCCTCATTCTTTATTCCTTTTGTTTCACTTCCATTTTTCCAGCCTAGAGACTAATGTGCAAGCATCAAGCCTGCTGGGTCTGCCTCACACGTTAATAGATCTCCTTTTTACATTTGCTGGATTTTGAGCACAGTTTGAACAGTGACTCTTCCTTCCTAATTCACCTCTATATCTCCAGGGCTAGATGACACCGCCTTGTTCAGAGAGCACAGTAAACCCCACCACTCAAGAGAGAGACCAAGAAGTCACCTGCACATTCCTTCACCTTGGTTTTTACCTTGAATTCTCTTTCTTCCACGTGCACATTCTACTCTGTGCTCTGGCTATATCAATAATTGTTTTTCTTTATAAGTTTTGAGTAGATACATTGAAGGTTTGCACAGGTATCAAATATAAAGAGCTACAATACAGTGAACATCTGTGTATCAACCACACGGTTTAGGAAAAAGAACCTTACCATTATCTTTGAAGTTTTCTTTTGCTTCTCCCCAATTCCATCTCATTCGCTCCTTCCTCAGAGAAAACCACCAGCCTGCATTTTGTGGTTCTCAACAAATGAGGAATAGAAGGAAACTTCCTAAAACTGATAAAGAGCATCTACAAAAACCTACAGATAACATCTATTGTGTCCATGTTTCTCTATATAATTTTACCAAGCATGTTTGTATTCCTAAACAATGTTAGATTTTGCATGTATTTTTTCTTCACATAAATAAAACCATTCCATATGTATCATTCTAATTTGTTCTTTGTGCTCAATATTATGTTCCTGGGATTTGTTTGTAAAGTTTCATGTAGCTGAGGATTATTCATTTCTTCGTCTATATTGTATGTTAAGGTATACCACAATTTATGCTGCTTTAGCCTTATTCCATTCATTTTGATAGTAATTAATAATTTCATTATTGTTCAGTTCAAAGGATATTAAAATACCAATTGTGATGTTTATTTGACTCATGAACTATTCAAAAATACATTTTAAAAAATTTTCAAATACCTGAAGCTATTTATCTTTTGTTACAGACATTTCTTTGTTTTCATGGAATATACATTATCACATTGCTGTTCTGTAGAAGTATTATGTTATACTTCTACATATGTAATTTTAAAATGCTTAGTTGCCACATTAAAGACTAAAAATAAACAAGTAAAATCAATTTTAATTATTTAACCCAAACTATCCAAAATATTATTTAAATATGTAATTGTCTTAAAATGTTATCACAGGTATTTAGATTTTTTGTACTAAATTTTCAAATTGGTATGTATTCTACATTTATAGCACATCTTAACTTGAACTGGCCACATTTTAACTGCTCAATAGTTACATGAAACTAGTGGCTACCATATTGAATAATGCAGGTTATAGTATAACCATTGTTTGAAATTAACTAAAACTTACTTTTTGTCCTAGAAGTGGTCAATTCCATATGAGCTGGAAAATAATGATGTATTTATCCACTAATTGTTTACAAGGTTCTAGATGTGAACCTTAAATCTGTCTTATGAACCTTAAGTCTCCTGTATCTTTAATGAACTATTTATTTGCTTGACCCTGGATTGCTACATTACACAACTGTAGCAAAGACATTCACATAGCAGTCTAGAGTTGTGCAGTTTATACTTCCATTGGCATATGTGGTGGTCCTGGGCTGATTTGTCTGTAACTGAGAAATCTGTGGTAGATTCTACCACTAAGGTATGGATTTAAGAATTTCTTTGTACAGTTATATCAAGTTTTGCTTTATATATTTTGAGGCTATTTTAATAGGCACATATAAGTTTAGAACATTCATAGTAAATTAAACTTACCATAATTATCAACTATTCATTATCTATTTCTTCTTTAGTGAACTTTGTTGGTTGTTTAAAATATTTTGTCCATTTCATCAGAGTTGTCAAAATTAATGACATAAAGCTGTTCATAATATTTATTATAAAGCTGCTCATAATATTTCTCTATTATCATCTTAATATCTGAGAGATCTGTAGTAGTATGATCACTCTTATTTCTGATATTAGTAATTTCTGACTTCTCTTTTTTATTCCTGATTAGTCTACCTTGAAGTTTATTTTATTGATCTCAAAGAAACAAATTTTTGTTTTACTGATATTGTCTATTGTTTTTCTGTTTTCCATTGATTACAACTCTGATATTTTTTACTTTCTTCTGCCTATCTTGGGTCTTGGTATTAGGAAAGGAGGAAATAGTTTGAGGTTACCCCAAAGAAGGAGACTATGTAGAACTTGCTACTGCATGGTTGTGGTAGAAGAGAGAGAAGGAGGCCGGGCACGGTGGCTCAAGCCTGTAATCCCAGCACTTTGGCAGGCTGAGACGGGCGGATCACAAGGTCAGGAGATCGAGACCATCCTGGCTAACACGGTGAAACACCGTCTCTACTAAAAAATACAAAAAAACTAGCCGGGCAAGGTGGCGGGCGCCTGTGGTCCCAGCTACTCCGGAGGCTGAGGCAGGAGAATGGCGGGAACCCGGGAGGCGGAGCTTGCAGTGAGCTGAGATTCGGCCACTGCACTCCAGCCTGGGCGACAGAGCCAGACTCAGTCTCAAAAAAAAAAAAAAAGAAGAGAGAGAAGGAAATGTCAGAGATGATTCAAACCTTCAGAAATGACCCTTGAAGGTTTTCAGAAGTCAGGAGGAAATAAAAGATTGTAGGAGATGATATTTAATTTGGTTTTTGATGTATACAATTTTTGGTGTTGATGGACCATTAGGGTGGAGATGTTGAACACGCAATTATAAATGAAAGTCACAGGTTTTTGCAGGAGGGTCAGAGCTAAAAGGAAAAGAGTGATGATGGGAAACAAAAGGATTAGGAGAATGAATGAGCAATAGAGAAGAATCACATACATAGAACATAAGAAGAATCATAATGATCATGCAAGAGGGAAGGGTCCCTGATCAATAAGCATACTTTTGCTGCTACTACTGATTTTTTATCTTAATTTCAGTGCCCCTGTGAAATTCTCTCTTGAATTTCCTCCTGTCCTTACTTCCATCCAGAGGATCACAAGCTAAGCATGAAGATCTACTTACGTGGATTAAGATAATAAAGTGATCTTTATGTTTTCAAATTTCTAATATGTTTTATGCTATATTGCATCCCTGACATCACACATCTCTCTACTTAATTTGGTTTGTTCCTATCAATATTTGAGGTAAGTAAAAGAAAAGAAAATTTCACAGGAACTGCTAACATGTATTGGCTTAATGACATATCCCAACATATTTTCCTTTTTTAAAGAAACCAAATATTGTCTGGTGCTATTTTAGAATTTAGTCATATACTTTTTGAACCACAACCTGTAACATTTTATTTTATTTTTTGCACACATGAACAGCCAGAAGGCATTTTATTGTATTTGTGACTCTGCATATGCTGTTAGTGTTTATTGTCAAAATAATATCTTACTACTTATTAAGCAAAAATTAAGCCTGGAAAAAAAACCATATATGCAGCACTTGTAAATTGCTGTTAATAGTTAAAATGATATGTAGTAGCAGCATATATACTGCTAAAGAAAATAAACAGACTAAGTTTTGAAGTAATATCTTCTGACCCAGGAACTACAACTTAGGAATTGTGTTAGGGGTAAGTATTGACTCATTTGTCGGGTTTATGATTTTCAGGGAATTGATGCTGATTTCACATCAGAAAAGCATCGAGCAGCTGCAAGAAACCCTTAGGCAGAAGCTGCTGAGTGATGATAACTGGAAGGAGAAGGTAATGGTAGCGTGGCTTTCATCAGCATTCAACCTATTTGCTTTTTAAAAATTCTGACCATTTGTCAGAAGACTCTTCCAGATAGATTTATTTGCTTCTATGCACACTTTTGATTCCTTCTGGAATTTCCTAGACCAGACATGCTTATGGAATGTGTCTTTTCCAAAATATTAGACAACATAATGAAAAATTAACAATGATAACACATTTTGGAATCTTGTAAGATAGCTCTTGGTTCTCATGCAAAAGCATATCTTTTTGCTTTTAAATATTTTCTTATTTCCTCATCAACTGTCACAATCTACATTTGATCATATTCTTAAAACCAGGGAAATAATTCTTACAACTTCTTTTCTTCTCCTATAAGAAGATGAAAGAATGGAAAATGACTTAGAATTATTTGGTTTTGGACTTTTGACATATATACCCTGACAAAGTGAAATGAATAAGCATTTAGCTTGCTAGTATTTACAGAGAAATGTTTGCTGTTGGAGTAGGAAAAAAGCTGCATTGGTTTTGGTCTTTGGTCTTTTTTGTAGTTTTCAAAGTTTCAACAATGAATAGGTATTACTTTCATAATTTTAAATAATAAAAGTAATACTTAAAAAATTGTTAGTCCGTACCTTCTCAGGTCATCCACAGCTCTAGTCATTGAGTTAAAAGCAGTCATCTTTCTGCCATAAACTTCCAGTACTCCTTGATTGATCCCTGGGCCATATTCTACACACTGACCCAAAGCATTCCCAACTTACTCTCTTCCATGACTGGTATCTATGCCTAGCACTGGCCTTCTGCCTTAGTTTTCTTATTATGCCTTAAATTTTCCTCTAGAAATGGAGCTGGTTGCCAAAATTCAGATTGTTTGACTGAAGTCCCGACAACTTGTTTGGGTTTTATCAGATTCTTCTCCTTGGGGATTGAACCCCATAACTTGTAGCCTCAGCAACAAGCAGTGGCCTCCTTCAAACTAACATCTCTACTAGGAATCCCTCACTCTACCATCCAGCATACTGAAACCCTTTAGGTATTCTTGCTGGCTCAGGACAATTTTAAATTTGTCGCTTTCATTTCCAGTCTTCAAACAGTTGGCCATACTCAGCCAACAGTAGCCCTCTAAAAATAAGTACCCCTTCCCTTCTCCATCAGGGTACACAGTCAGGATATAGTAAAAATGATCACTGTAACAATAGTACCACACGGACCAAAACAAAATTGGAGAATATGGACTAATGTTGCTATTTGTGTCTCATTCTTATTTTGTTTTATTTTGTAGCATAAGCCTTTTCTTTTCCTTCTTCTCTGAGGCCCAGCTTCTTTAATTCTTTCTTATTTTAATTAGCCTCAGGGTATTCAACTAACAGGTCTGCACTTACTCACTTTCCCTATTCTTACCAATCTATGTGTAAAAATTGAAAAAGAAGATTATCAGCCCTATTTTGTATAATCCAAAATATTCAAATTAGAACAATGAAAGATTGTTTATCCATCCAACTGATAGAATAGTTTAACACTGTGGTTAAGATCTAGTGAGATCGTCTCTCATACCTACTCTTTAAGGGACTAGAAATTAAAGCAACCTTTTTGGAAAGCAGTTTGTCAATATGTACCGAGATATTGTAAACTTCCCATGTTTTGACTCAGAAATTTTACTAATGGAATAAATGTGGATAGAGATTCAGAGTCATTCCGCTTCTCAAACTCCTGAGCTCCTTCTCTTAATATAATGGAGTAAACTTTCCTGCTTTTGCTTTTGTAGAAATTTCCCATCTCCATATTCATACCCCACTAGAGGTTTTCGGATACATTTCGCTGGAGAAAAAGTCTCTGTTTATGATCCCCTCTACTACTTCTGTTCACTGTACCCTGTCTTGAGGTGCTAACAGAGTAGAACAAGTTAGTGTTAGCATCTGACATATAAAAGCATTTATGTCTTGCTTTATGCTATTAAGTTAATTTGGTGGTAAAAATAATTCTATATAATATTCTATAAGTTCTTGCTAGGACCATGATATCTTTCTAATGAATTAATTATATTGCAGAGGTATTTTGGCATGTATAATTTTCTATAGTATAAATGGACATTTCATTTGGTTGAAAGGACATGACTTCTTGTTAATAAATGTTATAATTTAGCTAGCAGTAAATCAAGATCCAGACCAGGAAAGCAAAG